TGATAGTCATTTCATTGTGGTGAACTAGGCGACAAATGATCTGTCAGTATTGCTTAGCTCATAACTCAACATAACAACGAAAAGAACTGAAAGTTTTAGAGTATCCATGAAATAATTCTGAAATGTCTAGAAATCACGATAGTTACGAATTTTTAAAACTTCCTAACCAATTTTACATGATTCTTATTTTATCGATGAAATTTGCCGTGCTTACGGTGACTTCTGGGAAGCGGGGATAGCGCCGGGGTGAGACTGCTTACCTTCCACAGTTGTGGCCCGAGCTCGATTCCAAAAGTCCCGGCAAATTAATGAGCCCAAGGCTATACTTTAGAATCTGAATTTAAAGAACAGAGGAGCAGGTTTTGGCTCCCTGACCCGTCCATTTTGTGTCTTAAGCTTAAAGCTTTTTTGTATAAATTTCAAAACTTTGAAACTCCCATTTTGAATGAAAACAGAACAGCTTTAAGGGCCCTAAAAGTTACTGGGAGGACCTTCCAGAAACGGACCACAGTTGTCACAAGTGGGTCGAGCTTGTTATTGATACTCGCCCATATAGACTAGTGAAGGGTAAATTTGGATGTTTTCAACTGTTGACCAATACGATAAAGGAAGTTTAAGAATAAACCCTGGGACGTTGTTCAGAGATGAACGTAACCATAACAAAATGGAACCTCTGGCTCCTATAACACCTTGTTATCACTAAACCATCCATTTGAGCTGACACGACATATCTCATCCAGTTTCGTAAACATGGCAGAATCCTGAGCGCATTCTACCTAGGTGTCTTCACTAATTAAGGCCTGTTCAGTAGTACAATTTCATACCCATGTAATTAAGCGTAGCTAGCCTCCTCATAGAGTTTATGTTTTATCATTCCTTAGATATACTGACTTGGCTACTTGGGGTAATCTGCAGGAATAAAAAGAATACTAAAATATTTCGCAACACGGTTCATTGTCCTGTTATGGTAACTAAACGARTATTTAATTAACTGCTGTTTTTGACCTGTCAATAATTGTTCTTCAGATCATTTGAATGCAATACACTATTAATAAGTGGCTCTCTATGGTGTTATTTTCTTACTCTTTTTATCAATTGACATACCCTTTCCTCTTTTCTGACAGCCGAGAGTTAAAAAATGATAATTCTTAAATAAACAGCACATGCAGCCGTTGAAGTAGAAAGTGGAGCTATGCGAAGAAGACTGCTTGCCTGATTGTCTGCTTTACTGCTTTGCTCACCTCGTTATTCCTCCAGCAGTAAAGGAACGGGTTTAATGTGGAGTTAAAGAAAGCTATGACAACTGCCATTCCCTTGACTATAATGAAATTCGGAGATCCATTTTTTCTAAAAGTGAGTAAAATATCCACTGTGACATTTGGTACATAACAGAAAACTAATGCCAACAGCACCCACAGTGCACTGTACACAGCCTTTCTGTTTCGCGCCATATTCAGTGCATTTGTTTGGCTCGGCTGTTGTTGAGCATGATCTTGCACTTGAGCCTGATGACGACTGAGAGCGCGGAAAATCTTTGTGTACGAGGCGATTGAGATAACCAGGCAAGATGGTGCAAATATAAAGCCGCACCAAAGGAGTAAAGAGTGATTGAAATGATAAAGTGAACCAGCGACTAGAGATAAAACCCAAATGATAGCTAAAATGACATACGTTCGCCTCAAAGTCACAGTCTCTTTGTATCTGAGTCCCAACAGCATGGCGAGAAGTCTGTCCACGCTTATGGCCGTGATTGTCGACAGAGAAACTGAACATAACGCAAAACCTGTCACGCCGGTGGCTTTAAATGAGTATTGACAAATACTCCAGTGTTCATGAACCACAGCCATCCAATAAGTGGCATAAAGAGGCTGAGTAACCAGACCAACTAACAGATCGGTTATGGCCAGACAACGATACAAGAGTTTAGATGGCGGATGTAGGGAAGATTCCTTACGAAGGGCAACAAGGATGAGAGAATTCCCAAGAAATGCTGTGATGGAGAGGAAAATGTTGACTGCTGTGAATGAAATGGACTGTTGTTTTAATTCACCTACCCAAAAGGGGGAGCAGTCCGATCTTTCAAATGTTTTCGTTTGTGTTCCACTTTCCGTTATATTTGCTGCCGCCATCATCCTTCTTTACTCTTTCCAATCCTTTGCAGATGATCCTTAAAAACAACAAAGAATCAGTTTTTAATATAGTGTTTTATCGACCTTTGATATAATTTACGCAAACTTAGGACGCCGTCAACTATCTTTAAAAGTAAAGAGCCAGGTTATTTTGAAATCGTTAATCGGTATTAATAAAAATAGAAAACTAAATACATAAAACTATTTAAAATAAATTTGTGGCTACAAATGCATAGCTTCCCCAAAAATATAATTAATTTTTTTGGTGTGCTCTCTGTGTGTCGCACCTGTTTGGAACTTTAAGATAATGGTATGCTCTTTACCCATCAAACTGCATTGATCTCGTCTTTATGCCCTAAATAGTCTGAAAGTAGATCTAGCGGTAAACAGTTCACTTCAAACGCCACTGACAACACAAATTCTCCTTCCCTTGGGGCAATTACTTTCCTGCGAATCATCTTCAGCTATTTACAATGTAGGGTGAAGTTTCAATAGTAAACAATTCTCTTGGCGGAAACTTTTCATATTAGTATGGTTTGACGTCTTAATTTAGATTTGAGTGCGCATTAATGGTAAATTTAGCGAGAAGCTATCCATTCGTAGGTGTTATGATCAGGTGTAGCGTTCACAGTTTACCTCAAACACCACAGACAATACAAATTCTCCTTCCCTTGGGGCAATTACTTTCCTGCGAATCATCTTCAGCTATTTATAATATAGAGTGAGTTTAATAGTAAACAATTCTCTTAGCGGAAACTCTCGAGCTCCATTTTTGTATGGTTTGACGTCTTAATTTAGATTTGAGTGCGCATTAATGGTAAATTTAGCGAGAAGCTATCCATTCGTAGGTGTTATGATCATTGTTATTTCACCATAAAAAGATAAAACCGTCATGCATTGATAGTCATTTCATTGTGGTGAACTAGGCGACAAATGATCTGTCAGCTTTGCCAAACTTAAAGTAAAAAGAAAGTACCTAAAACGCTGAGGTAAAGAAATTCGAAAAGTGTGACAATCATGATTACTCAAAACTAATGTCTTTATGGCTAATTTCTTTTCACCAACTATCTCTTCCAGTTTCTAAATATTCATTTCAAATTCCACTGAAATTTCAAAAGGATCAAAGACAGATAAATAACATCACTCTACCAAGCCAAAAATGACGTGGTTGCCATACCATTTGTTACCTTAAATTTTGTATCTTCTTTCATTCTCTATTTACCCTTCTTTCTTAAATAAAACATCTTTAAGCAAGAAAATTCAATGTTTTTGTCTTATACAGACAGAATTCATTAGAAGCGATGCTGAGTTTTTAAGAGCGAGTGTTAGCAGCTTTTGAATTCGATTGTTATGAATAAAATGAGAGAATTTTTCCTCACAAGATAAGCTGTATGTGCACGGCCTGTGATAGCCTCACATCTTGAATATTCGAATTTGGTTATAAAAGTGCTTTAAGATTACTTGCGCAAAGAAATCTGTGAATAGGCTATTGAAAAATATAGTTTTGTACTCGACTAATAATCTTTTCAGTGAGACTTGATGCTACTAACACACTGTAAACAGCTAGTCATATCAACCAGGTTATAACTAGTTTGAATTATTTTTTATCATAATTTTCTTCTTTATAGCTTGCATATTTGACAGGTCTCAAACTATGTCTCTTTCTAAAAAAAAGATGATGATCTTCTTTTCACAGATTGATTTCAGCATACTTCAATAACTATAGATATTCTAGTGCGCTCGTTGAACAAGAACCATCGTCAATTAAACAAATAGAGAAGCCTTGACTGTGCACTGTTCTGTTGAAAAGCACGAAGAAAGCGGCTAGGCACGAAAGGAGTGTAGGGAGAAACACGAGATGTAGTCGAGTGTTTCTCCCCAGACCTCTTGGTTTCACTTTAGTTTTGAACACTGTTGACGTCAATAAGGTGATAGACAATAGAAAACTTACAGACAGTTTGTTAAACAGATGTTAACAAAGTCCACACCTTTATATAGTTTCGTTATAAACATTATGACAAGTTCCTAATTATGACAAAATCGAGTTCCTGGCTCCTGTAGCAACACATTTCATCCAGTTTTGATACCATAGCAGAATCCTAAGAGCATCGTAATTCCAAAATGGCAATAGCCTTCGCTACTTCATTGCAAATGCGTGAATTGGAGACAAGGTGTTGATTGGTTATGGCTACCGAGCTACAATTTTTCACCTGTCAGTTGTTCTTTAGATAATTCGAATACAATGTACTATTTCGAAGTAGCTCTTCGTTGTTGTCGTTACTCTTTTTATCACATGTCATATCTTCTCCTCTCATCCATACATTTTTAATCATGCAAACGTCGAAACAAGGTCTACCCCTTGGCAAGGCAGACTGGTTCCCTGATTGTCTGCTTTGATTTACTGGTTTAAACAGTGGAGTTAAATTCATTTGCCTTTTTCTCTGATTATGATGAAATTCGCAAATTGGTTTTTACTTAAATGATAAAAATTTCTACTGTAATTTTTGGTACATAACAAGCAACCAAAGCTAAATGCATCCACAGTGCTTTGCCTTTCTGTATCACGCCATGTTTAGTACATTTGGTTGTTGCTGAACATGGTGATGTGCGTAAGCCTGATGATGACTTAATGCGGGTAAAGTCTTTGGGTATGAAGCGATTAAGATTACCAGGCAAGATGGGATAAATATAAATTAAAGTCGCATCTAAGGGTTACACGGTAATTGAGATGAAAAAATAAACCAGGAACCTGAGATAAAACCCAAACGAAACCTAAAATGATATATGTGCGTCTCAAAGTTAATTACGAGCAATCTTCAATTTTTCTTGAGCGAGTGCTAGCAGCTTTTGTATTCAATTAGCATTAAAATGAAAGAGTGTTTTCTCACAAGACCAGTCGTATTTACATGCCATGCGATAGCCTCACGACATCTTCTTGAATATTCGATCGAATTTGTAATAAAAGTGCTTCTAAAATTACTTGCGCAAAGAAATTTATGACTGGGCATCTAAGAAATATAAGTTTGCACTCGATAAACAGAGTATCAGTTGATGCTGGTAAGATACTGAAAGGCAGCTAATCTTGTATTGGTCTCAAACGATAACTCCATGTTAAATAATGATGATAAACCTTTTT